AAAACAACAACAACAACAACCAAAAAAAAACAAAACAAAACAAACCCAAACAAACAACAAAACAACAACACAAAAACAACCCCCCCAAAAAACAACAACAACAAACAAACAACAACCAACAACAACAACAACAAACAAACTAGTAAACAGTTTATGGATTTCCTTATCAAAGCTGCTCTAATGACCGTTATCCTGTAACATGCGCCCCTCTCTAATTCAAATTTTTTAGCACAGTTGTTTTGTATCTTATGAGCGCAAGCTGCCTCTCTCTCTGTTCTTGAAAACCCGCAGATCCTTCGCCGTATCCTGGGCTTTAGAGACAATCGCAGAGGCAGTGTTTACTAATACTTTGATGGAGTGGGTAATGGAGCGACAAGTTGGCTTTTATACCCTATTATTGTCGGGGAAAAATGTCAAGTGGATGTTTGCTTTCCGGTCTGGTGCCTAGATGGAATGTGATTTGTTTCGGTTTTATATACTGCCCCTTATGTCACTGCTGTTTGCAGAATGTAGTCTCAATTGTTTGGCTTACTCGACACAGCCCCGCGCCCCCCTCAACCCACAGCAGTGCCACTGACTGATGTGTCTTTAGGCCATTGTCAAAGGGGGGATGTTAAATTACATGTTCGTATGCACAATAGAATTGTAAATGGGCTGACTTATCAATGTCATGCTCATCCTGTGCCGAAGCAACATAGGGGGAACTGCTGCTTTTTCTCTCCTCATCCTTACTATCGTCATTTCCCCTCTACTTCTTTTGTATGTTTGTTACTCTCTTGTGAAGTGCTATTTCTGGGGTGCCTTGATAGTCGAAGCAGACTTCGTGCTGTTAAGGCCAGAAAGGTTAGCGGAGTAAGCATGATTCCCCGTTTGGATTTCTCTGTTGCCGCTCATATGACCTTGTGCGGTTGCAAACGTCGTAAAACCTTACTGAATGGGTGGTTGGCGGGTGCTCTGGTGTGGTTTGCTCTTTCTTTCCTCTCCAACATCTATCGTCCTTATCTCTCCTCCTTTTTTGTGTTTGTTACTCCCTTTTAACACCTCTAATCTTCTGGTGCTCATAATATGACCTTATGCAGTTGCGAGTGCCGTAAAACTTTTACTAAAAAAAATAAACAAAACAAAAACCAACACCTTACTAAAACTAAAACTTACACGACGCCACACTCACAAACATACACAGACACGCACGCACACACGCACGCACGCACACACACACACACACACACACACAC